ACTATATGATATAGTGATCCGATCCAGAAAATTCCAACATATGCATTGCCTGAAATAGAAAGACGGAAAGCTTCAAGATGCTTTAAGACTGAGAGACTAGTTCGCATAGAAAAAGACAGATGGACAAACGGACAGATAGACGGACGGAGGGACGGACAGATGGATAGACAGACAGAAGTCAGACATGGCTATATTATATCAACTCGGCTGTTGATGCTGATCTAGAATATATATACCTTATGGGGTCGGAGATGTCTCCTTCAATGCCTTACACATCTCGTGACAAAATGAGTATACACTCTAGAAGGGTATAGTGATAATAAATAAATAAAATAGCGACAAGCCATTTGAATTAAATGCAAAAATAGTATGCTATTTAATGTTGCGGCGAAACTTTGTGAGCAGCGTACTTTGCTCAATTTCAGTTGCCGTTTATCGCAAGAGGCAGCAAAACATATTTAAATATTAATTTGCAATAGTTTCATAAAGCAGACCCCAGCCCCAGATCAAGCCCCCGACTACCCGAACTTTCACTCGTAACTTGTGGCATATTTATACATATATATGGTTTTTCTTTTTGTCCTTTGGACCATGTGCTGGCCACCTAGTAGCTGTTGCTGTTGCTAGTTTATTGTTCATGTTGTTGCTTACTTTTTTATTTGCTTGCTTTTGGCGAGTTGAATAAACACTTGGCAAGTGACGCAAACGAGTGGCAGGGTGAGGGGTGAGTGGTGAGGGGAATGGGCGACAGGGACGCATGGAAATGGCGACGTTGGCAGCTAAAGTAAATAAATAAATATGCTCACCATTTGTCAGAGAATTGACTTGAGGCCATAAAATACAAGAAGCCAACGTACGATGGACATACAACTATACCCAACCTGCCCTGCCCTGCCCGCCCCTCAGGCAACTGGCTACAGCTTCAAGTTTATTAACGCCATATGTTGTGTGCGTGTGTGTGTTCGGGTGTGTGTGTCTGTGTGTGTTGCTTGTCCACTCATAACAACAGCAACAGCAGCAGCAGCAACAACAACAGCAACAGCTGTACAGCTTAGATATGCACACATTTCACACACACATAAACACACACGCACACACGCGCACACACAGTTTCGGCCAAGCGGGCGTCGTGCATGGCGAATGCGTTTTGGCCACGTTTGTTGCCCGTTGCGCGTGTCAACAGGGCGTATGATTAATATTGTATTAATATGCGATATGTAATTAAGATGTAAGCTGTTTGCGTATATCGTCGTTTAGTGTGCACGTGTGTCCCTGTGTTTGTGTGTGTGCGTGTGTCGGTGTTAGCCATGTTTTAGCCACATAAAGCATTTCAAAGCTATTTTCAGTCTTTAAGCTGTGCCTGCTATCGTTTCGAGCTGTGCAAATATATACATTTTTATTATTTATGCCATGAATTCGTAATTTTTTAATAACTGCATTTGGGGAAACCATGAATTTGTCCTATTACAAAATTCAAAATAATTTGCATGCAACTATAAAGTTAATCATCATTCTAGTAGTTCATTTAAATTGAAATAGAAAAGAGAATGCTTCGGCATGTCGAAGATTTGATACCCTTCTAGACATTTGCCTTACGGTTTTGCAGATGTGTGAGAATGATGAAGCTGGTTAATGCGGAGTTTGTTGAAAATATCTTGGAAAACTTAATATATATCCATGCAAAAACTAATTTGTCAACCTATTCTACCCATGGAGCTATAAACTATAGTAGTGCGATCTTGGTAAGATTTGGTTAATATTTAAGCAGCAGATTTTAACTAATTAAAGCTGAGAGATTAATTGACATAGACAGACGGGTAGACGGACATATGTATGTATAGGCAGACAGAAATCAGACATGGCTATATCGACTCGGCTGATCTAAAATATATATACTCTGTGGGATCAGAGATGTCTCCTTCTATGAGTTACACATCTCAAAATAGAATTGTAATACCTTCTAAAGTGGTAAGCAAAATAATGACTGACTGACAGTCCAATTGGCTGAGTTTCTAACACATTTACAATAAATTAAATGTAGCTTTTGCAAAAAAGACACTTGTTATTTTACGGGCTGAGAGTGTCTAAAGCGGCTAAAAATAATAATACAATTAATTAAAATGTTTAGTGCAAACTCATTGTCAATTTAAACATATTTTACTGATTTTAAAGAGTTCACTTACAATAAATTAAGTGAAGGATGTGAAAAATAGATAGTTCAAATTTCGCGTTCTGAAAATGGGAAATCAAAAACAAAAAACACACACACATAATAAAATTAAATTCCTGGAAACTCAATAATGTCAATTTAAACATATTTCGATTTTTGATTACAAAATGCATAAAATATAGGAAAATTAATTTACGAAAATATTTCAATAATCTATGCAAAAACAAAATGATCTAAAAAGAACATATTTTTCTTTTTGATATTTTGTACAATATCAAATTAATATAAATTAGCTTTCACTCATAAAATTGTAATTAAATTTCGGTTTGGTTAGCAATTTGTTGGCTTTAATTTATATACACTACGTAATTGTTTATTAATTGTTTAAGTGCAGTCAACTGTAGGAATTGCTGCTGAAATGCCGTTCACGGCCAAATCAATGCCAAAATCCTGACAATCTGCAATCGAATTTCACTTTGACTTTAGGCCGACAAACACAGAGAAACACACACGCTATCTGTTCACCTACATGCATATTGTATAGCCTGTCAATGTGCGAGTGTCTGTGTGTGTGTGTGTGTGTGTGTGTGTGTGTGTGTGTGTGTATCTGTGTCTCTTATTTTGAAAGCTGTCAGCCAACCTGCTAACTAAAAATACACGAAAAAAAAGCCAAAGAAAAAACACAAGTTTGCAACAAACCAAACCAAACCAAATGAAGAGCGAGAAAAAGAGGCAGAGAAATGACAATTCACGTAAAAAATTTTCAATTAAAAGCGAAAAGTGCATTTTCATGTTGCACGTCAGTTTTCTGGCCCGGCTACTGCGGCCGTGCTGCACTCACTTCTCGGCCCCGCACTCGAGAAAAAAATGTGACGCTTTTTTCTTCTTCCTTTTTCTTTTTTGTCTAGTTTCTGCGGCGGTTTTGGGCGAGTTAGCTGCGAGCTGCGGCCGGGGCGTGGCCAGGCAATGTGACACCCAACAACCCGCCCCGCCCCACGCCCAGCGCAGCCCAGCGCAGCGCGGCGCGGCGCAATGCCGTTTGCTTGAGCTAAGGCCAGGCCATAATTTAAGCTGACAAGCATGACATGGAAATTCCCTTTGGAGGAGAGCATTCCGTATAATCAGGCTAAAAACACATGGTCACCAGGCGCCGCTCGCACACGGGTTACGGCTGCCGCTCCTCCGAGAGAGAGCCGCGGGCGCACTCCAAGGACCTTGTCGCCATTGTTAATTAACACATGCTCAGCGAATCGCAAATTAATTGCGACACTTCACACATTCCCCCCGCGCTCCAAGTCGCTCTTGTAACACCCATTTAAACTGCTCGTAGGCGCCGTGACCTTCACCCCCAAAACAATGTTGCTCAGGAAGTTATACTTTCGCTTTGGCTTATATAAACAAAAAAATATGATAGCTACATTTTCGTTGAAAAAGATACTCAAGATCTGATCATTTTACCTTCTCTAAGGCGGACTAACAAACGGATAATTCCGTATGATATGTAACGCATAAAAGGAGACATCTCCGACAAGACATTTCGTCTTGAAACTTTACATAGGTCCATCTTTTTGTTGTAGTTGTCGGCACAGGCCGGATTGGACGACTGTATCATACAGTTGCCATTGGAACGATCGTAAAAAGTAGATTCGCAAATTATCTTGATTATCCCCACCATATGCATATCGAGCCAAACGCTATCAACTTCGCACTACTATATTATATAGCTTTATATGAAGAATCGCTCATAGCTATTTTCATTAAACTCATCATTTTCGAGCTTCATTATTCTCACATATCTGCTTAGGCACAAGGCAAGTGTCTAGAACCGCATTAATTGTTCTGTATGCCGCAGATATCATAAATTTCGCTTTTATATTACAATTTTGGGCATACAAATAAATAGTCCTGGGCCTGGCAGTACCTGCGGGACCCATAAAGAATATAAGGAATTGTGGGAATCATAAAAATATACACATTTCCATATATCTCAAAAGCCTGTCTCTGACCGCCCCTTCCGTAGGTATACCCAAAACCCATTTATAGTTACGAATATTCTATAAATATTTTAAATTTCCTATATACATATATGTATATATATTTATTTTTTTTTTGTCATGTCTAAGAAGTACTTCTCAACATATTTGGTATTGGCAAAGTTATCTTATCTATTTTGCTCTTAATGTTATATAAATTTTGTGCAGTCCTCCTCCCCGCCCCGCCCACCGCTGGGCAATCAAGTAAAGCGTTCTGCGCGCTGTTTGTTTTGCCAAGGATGTCACTCTTCCAATATATCTAAAGTGCCTTTTTAAATTGCTTTGGTCGTTGGGCCATTATGAAGACGACAGAGTGTGGGGTGCGGGGAGTGGCTGCGGGGTACGGAAAACGGAAAAAGCGCATAAAAATCAAAGTCCGGCCCCGTTGGCTCGCTGGCCAGCAGCTTGCTTCCCAATGCGGGTGGGGTGGGGGGAGGAGCCTCTCCTCACCCCCTTTTGGTCTATTGTGTGGGCCAATGGCTCGCTGATGACCCATTTGCTTTAACGCGCCTGCTATCAAACTGCCAAAACAAAAGCCATCATCGTTAGCCTCAGCAACCCGCTCGCCACCCCCCCCCCCCTTTCATCGGGGGGGCTCGGTTCTGGAGCTGTTGCCACGGGTTATGGGAAACGCTTCAAATGCCGTTTAAAATCAATTTGAATGATGAACTGGCGGCCAATGCTGGCAGTCAGCGTCACTTTGACTTGGTCGCCATCGCCTCAACCATATATGCAGCTCCAACTAACTCTCTCTCCCTCTCCCTCTCTCTCTCCCTCTTTCTCTTTCTCGTTCATAGAGTTCATACACAGCAGCGTGCGCTACATCGAAATGTCCAATACGCATCTGCAGAGCGTCGACGATGAAACATTTCAGGGACTGCGTCTGAAGACACTGAAGTTAATCGACAACGAGCTGCAGGACATATCCGAGCGCAGTTTCAGGTGAGTGTGTGTGAAGGTCAACACCTTTGATGGGGTTGGCAAGGGGCAAGGGGCAAGGGTTAGGGGGCAGCTAGGTCAAGCTAGGGGACTAAGGACTACGTGTACTGGCATTTGCGATTAGGGTTATCACGACCTAAGTGCTGAGCCATGATGATGCACTCTGCCTCATAAAAACACACGCAAAACACACACGCACACACACACACACATGTACACCCATTTGTACATATACATTTCATATGTTCTGATGATGCGACAGTTTTCCAGGCCTATTTATATGGCCCGTGTGCGGCATTTTTTACGGCTTTTTTTTTGGCATTTTTGTAAGTGTGTGTGTGCGAGTGTGTTTATGTGTTTGTAGTGCAAGTGCTTACACACACACATTTATATTTTACAACATATAACTGCAAGTTGTAAAAAAGGCGTAAAATTAAGTTTAACAAACGACTAGCAACAGGGGCATGGTGAGGGGAGGTGGGGGGAGGGGCAGGTTGGGCAGTGCAGCGTATGCGATGTTTGGGTGTGTTTCAATGCGCACTCAGGCTGCAAATGCAGGCAGGAAATGCAAACTCACATGGCGAGCACACTAGAACACACACACACACATACACGCACACACACACAATCTCATTCAGACACACAGCGGGGCAAAAGAAAAACTTTCAGGCGCTATTTGTTTGAGTGTAAATAATCACAAAAAAAAAACAAAAAAAGCATATATAAAGCAACTACAAAAAGGAGTACAAAAATTAAGCACACTAAAACGGCAATTTAATACTCTAGTAAAACCATAGATACAATCTGTTTAAACAACTTCTATCTTGGCGAAAATCTAATCATTTTTTATGACGCTCCTAAAGCATATACAATTTATAATCAGCTTTATATTAACTGTTTATTTGTATATTTTGTCAAAGTATGCTGACGGGCTTCTCAATCTGAGAGAGAGAGAGAGAGAGATAGAGAGAGAGAGATAGTGGGTTAAAAGGGATAGAGAGAGAGAGAGAGAGAGAGAGAGACTGAAAGAAAGTGAGGAAGAAAGAGATAGAGATAGTAGGAAAAAAGAACAAGAGAAAGAAAGAGATAGCGGCAGGTAGAAAAAGGAGCAAGAGAAAGGTAAAGCAAGATAGGTAGAGACAGAGAGAGGGAGATAGAGAGGGAGCGAGAAGAATGTTTATGAAATACCAAAAAAATTGGAATAATAAGATGAATAAATACTATATAGACCGTCTCTCCCCCACTCTCTCTGTCTCCTTCCCTTCCTCTCTCAGTCTCTTACCTAAATATTAATTAAGATTTTGATAACTTTTAAAAAAACAATAATATTCCAAAACCAAAAAGAAACCTAACCTGCCTTGACTTACATTTCGCGTCCCATAAAAGGCTCTTAATACCTATAAAGGCAGCAAGTCCAAAAAAATATATATTTATATACCTTGTGAATCCCATATTGTTGAGCGTATACATTGTTCGGCCATGCTGGCATTACGCAGTTCGACAGCTATAATACCCTACGCAGGGCTATAAACCAAAAGCGAGTGAAAAACGGACTCGAAATATGCATGTTCTGTTGTAAAGCGCACACTACATACATTCATACATACATGCACATATTTCGTCAGCTTTTTTGTGCTCCCACACAACACACAACACACATCACATCAAACATGTGACTGTGTGTGAACCGTTACCCACTCTCAGTCCCTTACTCCCACTCCCACTCCCACTCTCTCTCTCTCCCCCACTCTCTTTTGCTTCTCTTTACCACTCGACCGCATTTGGCAGTTGTTGGGTTTTCTTGTTGGGCGGCATGAAATGAAACGCGAAAATTTTTTAACGAGCACAAAGAACCCAAACCAGCTATACCCCACCCCTCCTCTGCCCCCTTTCGCCTAGCAGCCCGCTCGCCACAAACCAGCAACCGCATCCCCACTCCGCAGCGCCTTACATTTGCCAAAGTTAAATGGACGCACGTTAACAGTTTGCGCAGTTTTTAAGACCCCCCGCCCTCTCCGCCCGACCGACCGCTTGCCGCTCTCCCAACCCAAACATAAGTAAACAGATAACGTGGGACAGCGTTGGCTGCGGAGCGGGCAGAGGCGGGGGCAAGTGCTGGCAAATAGACACAAACTCGCTCGTCATTAACAGGCCGCATCTCAACTTAAATCAAACTAATTAATGTGCACAAACCTGGCAAAATGTGGCTAAAATTACCCCCAAGCAATCCGAACTCCCCCCGCCAGCTGTCTATTACCCACGCTCTCGCTCTCGCTCTCCTCCTCTCTCTCTCTCCCTCTGCCCCATTCACGGCTGTGTCGTATGTTAATCAAAAAGTTAGTTGAAAAACTGAACCCAACTTAAAAAATGATGATGGAAATATGTATGCTGGCATAATATGCAGAGCAAAGAGCAATCTATAAATAATAGAAGACACACACACACCCACATACACATGCTTTTAATGTATTTATTATATCGTATCACACTCCAGGAAACCTTAATTTATTTCAAATAACGTTTATTTTATTCTATATAATAACCCATATAGAGCTTCATATGATTATTAAAGTTAAAATGCGAGTAACAGGATTAAACTCGAATAACTTCAATTATTTATTTATTAATACGAATAATAAGATTATATTTCAATTAATAATATCATTAAAATAAAATTATTAAATCAATAATATAATAAAAATAAATAATAAAACAATAAAATTTAATACAGAACATTTGATAATTATAAAGTATAATAATACTAATAATACAAAAAATGACAATATTCCCATTATTATATACTGAATATAAAAATATCAATATGAAAAAAATATAAAAACAATAATATTAAATACATAATATTTATGTAAATTAAAAAAGCTAATATTAAATACTAATAATGATTATAATTATAATAATAATAACAATATTAATAATATTAATTATAATTAAATTAATAATGTATAATATAATAAATAATAAACATAAAATATAAAAGAAAAAATTAAATACAGTGAAATAATACGAAAAATAACAATATAAAAAAGATACGAAATAATAATAATAATTACAATAATAGTAAGAAAAAAATATAAATATTATTGTAATAATAATTAATTATTTATTATATGTATTATTTCACTAATTAAATTATTAATTTCATATTAAAAGCAATAATACAAAATAAATAATATTAATATATTATATATAAATATTAAATTAAAAAAATGACAGAGTTGACTAGCTAATGTAATCTTACAAAAGTGATTCTTATATTCGAAGAATTCAAATGTCTGGAGGCTTTGCTTTGAAAAGTATTTATTATTATATTTTTGAGCCTCATTCAACGATTAAAAAATGAATAAAATAGATTTAAAGGGGAAGCAAATAAATAATAAATAAATCAATAGTAATTTCGCAAACATTATAGCTTATGAGAGCTTAAAGGGTTTTTCATGTTAAGCTGACTAAGTAAGCCCTAATTCACACAATCCACATTCAGTTGCATTCAAAAATACATCCCTCATAATTTTTCACACCAAACAACAAAATCTTAAGAAACTCGCTTCTGGTTTACTCTTAAGTATGAAAGAGAGCAGAATTCAGAAATACTTTGATATGTGATGTAAGCAAAAAAGCCATTACAATTCTTGATTATTTAACTATGCTATCGAGTTCGCATAAAGGCAACATAAGGGGACTGATATGACGTTGACCCATATATGCCGACCAAATATATAGTATAAATATTATCAGAAGTTTCTGAAAGAAGTTGAATGGTTGCGCATTCAGTTGAGTTTGGATCGTGCTGGACGACGGTCAAAGAACATAAAGAGTTCAAATCTTTAACATGATTGGGCTCTGGGCATTACTCGCCCTGATAACGCGCATAGTCCGGGCTGATGATAGGGTCTTTCCACTGGAAATGGATAACTGCACACGGCTCTGCCAGTGCTGGTTCCGGAATGATACTTCCTGGCCTTTGCTTAGGTCAACGAACTGCCTCAGTTTCTGTTCGGACGACCACACAAAGCCCTGCTTCGATTGGACCAAGTGCCGTGTGCTGCCCGACACCTGTCAGTTATTCTGCGGCGGGGCAGCCTCATCGTACAAGTGCGTTGCCAGGGACTATTCCATTGGGGCTGAAAATGAGTCTCAGCTTCTCGCCTGGTTGTCGTACGTGGGCTATGGACTTCTTGGTGTTCTGTGTGTCTTCGGGCTTATCTTTGGTGCTATGAAAATATATAAATTTCGATTAAGAACTTAACACATCTAAAATATAAAACAATAATATAATAATATTTAAATATTATAATATAATTGATATAATATAATAATGTAGACCTAACGACAGTTGTACTTTGTGCCTACGTTAAAATGTTTCTGATTAGAAGGGTGCATATAAAGTCGGTGTTTTTCGAAAGTTCGTTGATAACGGTTGTCAAAAATCAGTTTAGAGTAATAATATTCCATAAACACTTGCAACGATCTCTGTGAAACTTCCCTTAAAATCAATCCCAATGAGTCAAAAAACAAAATAATTGAAAACCACAAACATCATTAATACTAAAAATAAATAGCAAGAATAGATACGTTCAGTATGATGAAGATTAAATACCCTTTCAGAAATAGACTTCACTTGCGCCAGCATATTCCATTCGATTAATCCCGTATGAATACGACTTTGTTTACATGTAATCAGCATTACACATAATTTCTATGCAGAGCAGCCCTCTTTGCATCACCGACGCTTTCGTCTTACTCGAATTCATCACATGCCAGCAATTAAAATTTTGCGCCTCTGCACAAACGTGCGCCTGTTTAACAGTGCAATTGACAACTGGAGTCAAGCTAAAGCAGAAAAAGTGGGCATTCAGCAATTAGAGCAAGCCATGGGAGCACAAAGGGATTCTCGCTTGGAGTGAAAAGCATCAATAAAAGGAGAGAAAGGTAGATAATGCACAAGCAACTACACATATGTATGCATAGATATTGCATAGGCG